TTAACGATACGTCGACCGAAACTTCACCGACACACTAATTAACGATACGTCGACCGAAACTTCACCGACATACTAATTAACGATACGTCGACCGACACTTCACCGATACACTAACAATACGTCGACCGACACTTCCCCGATACACTAACGATACGTCGACCGACACTTCACCGACACACTAACGATACGTCGACCGACACTTCACCGATACACTAACGATACGTCGACCGATACACTAACGATACGTTGACCGAAACTTCACCGATACACTAACGATACGTTGACCGAAACTTCACCGATACACTAACGATACGTTGACCGAAACTTCACCGATACACTAACGATACGTTGACCGAAACTTCACCGATACACTAACGATAAGTCGACCGAAACTTCACCGACACAGTAACGATACGTCGACCGACACTTCACCGAGACACTAACGATACGTCGACCGAAACTTCACCGATACACCAACGATACGTCGACCGACACTTCACCGACACACTAACGATACGTCGACCGAAACTTCACCGACATACTAACGATACGTCGAGCGACACTTCACCGATACACTAACGTTACGTCGACCGAAACTTCACCGACATACTGACGATACGTCGACTGACACTTCACCGATACACTAACAATACGTCGACCGAAACTCCACCGACACACTAAGGATACGTTGACCGACACTTCACCGACACACGAACGATACGTCGACCGAAACTTCACCGAAACACTAACGTAACGATACGTCGACCGACACTTCACCGATACACTAACGATAAGTCGACCGAAACTTTACCGACACACTAATTAACGATACGTCGACCGACACTTTACTGATACGCTAGCGATGTATCGACCGAAACTTCACCGATACAGTAACGATACGTCGACCGAAGCTTCACCGACACACTAACGATACGTCGACTTACACTTCACCGAGACATTAACGATACGTCGACCGAAACTTCACCGATACACTAACGATACGTCGACCGACACTTCACCGATACACTAACGATACGTCGACCGAAACTTCACCGACGTACTAACGATACGTCGACCGACACTTCACCGAGAGACTAACGCTACGTTGACCGAAACTTCACCGGCATACTAACGATACGTCGACTGACACTCCACCGATACACTAACGATACGTCGACCGAAACTTCACCGACGTACTAACGATACGTCGACCGACACTTCACCGAGAGACTAACGATACGTTGACCGAAACTTCACCGACATACTAACGATACGTCGACCGACACTCCACCGATACACTAACGATACGTCGACCGAAACTTCACCGACACACTAACGATACGTTGACTGACACCTCACCGATACACTAACGATAAGTCGACCGAAACTTCACCGACACACCAATTAACGATACGTCGACCGACACTTCACCGACACACTAACGATACGTCGACCGAAACTTCACCGACACACCTAACGATACGTCGAGCGACACTTCACCGATACACTAACGATACGTCGACCGACACTTAATCTACACACCGACGGGTCGACCAACACTTCACTGACACAATACCGATACTTCGACCGAAACTTCACCGACGCACTACCGACACACTATTCGTCAACCGACACTTCAACGACAGAAGGATACGTCGACCGACACATCACCGACACAGTACCGACACTTCAACCGACACAATACTGACTGGTCCTCTGACGCGTCGACGACACACTTCCGACACGTGAACCAACACTTCACCGAGACACTACCAACACGACGACCGATACTTCACTTACACATTACCCACACTTGAACCGTCAATTCTTCGACACACTATATCAACCTACTCTTCATCGATGTACTCAGTACCAAGGCGCCTGCCTACACTCTTCTCTGTAACAGTAAAGTTACTTGAGTTTGCCAAAGCTGGTAGAGTCGGTTGAGTTAATATCCTTCTCAGCCAGTCATGCAAATTTTGTCTTATTTTTTTTTCTTATTTGGAACTGACATAAGTCAATTATACCAGATATGAGGTACGTGTTTTGCTACTTTAAGTCACCATTACTTACCGATGTTAAATTTTCTCTATAGGTTTTGTGGGGTAGCAAAGTTTGCGACCCTGAAAAAAGAGTTTCAGATGAAGAAACCAGATTTCTTCACACCTTAAACGTGAAGATTCACGGAGACAGTCGTGTTGCAATAAGTTTTCTTCCATTTGCAGATGGTGTTACTCTAGCGATGAAGCTGTAAATTACTGTTGTCAGTGTAAAATACTGCTCCATAACAGTAAACTCGATGTCACTAATAAATTTGTCAACAGTTTTTTTTGTAGTAAGTTACCTCAGTTACATTTGCAGATGGTGCTACTACATGAACAGCAAAACGTTGTTAACTATTCCAATCAAATACTGCTATTAAAACGCTAGCTAGGTGCCAATAATTTACTTGTAATTTGTTTTCTTATGTCCAATGCTTGCCATACCTCGTGTAAAAAGTCTGCGAAAGTCCTCTTTCGTATGTGAGTTGAACTCCGCTTGATCCAGAGTCTAAAGTTTGGAACATACATTCTTGTGATAATGGGTCCCTTGAATGAAACCCATGAATTTATTTATTTTATTACGATTCAATAAATACTACAAAAATACAAATAAGCCATATGGACGATCTGTATCCCATATAAAAACAGACCACCAAAGGGAAGAAAAACATAAAGTAAAATCCACTCACCTCTTCGCATTAAATTAACAATTTTCTATCTTTTGCCTTAAAGGCTCTCAGATTAAATTCACAGCGACTGCTCAATGGCAGTTCATTCCATTTATCTACAATTGAGAATTTTAGCACGTTATATATTTAGGTCAGATGTACGTTCCTTGTCGGGATCCTTGAACAATGCACTCTTGGTTTGCCAGTCTGCGAGCGGGCTCATCGCGCGCACTCGACCACGAAGCGATCCGGCAGGGAGGAGTCTGGTGCCGAGGCGCCTATAAAGTAACAAGGTAAGAAAGGGAAGTGCTTCACCTTCGCCGCTATTACGCCTACTCCTCAAACATGAACCTGCTCGGAATGCGATCAAGCCTAGGTTACCCTAGGTGACATCCTAGGCTCAGTTTCCTGCCTCGAATCACGGACGCACGTACCGAAACACCGATAGCGCGGTTTGTTTTGTTGTCACCTACTCACTGGATATGGATAAAGCGTATGCGCATGACGTCATGGCAGCCATATTGGTGTTCCAGAGCAATGAAACGGTGGCCATGTTGGTGTACCAAACCAATCCTTTGGGAGTTCAACTCTTTTCTTATGTAAACACTTTCTTTTGTTCCAATAAAATTGCATGGCTGCTGGACGTGAGTGAATACGCTCTATAGTGATTTACCCTGTGGATAGCGTTATACTGCCATTGAACAACTGGGGACTGTCCGGTGGGGAACGCCCATTTGAAAAGGTCGGGGATGCTCGTCCACTCGCTTAGGGATATAAATCAAGGATTCTGGTCTCAGCTGCGGTGCTGAGGACTAAACGCCACCCCGGGAATTTAGAATAGCTAAAACCACTTTGCATACGTTATACAGCGGCTCGGGATGAGCCCGCAGTACGAGCGGCAGTCAAAACTGAGCTGTCCTTCCGATATGACACGATAATAGCCTTTTTCTTCGCAGCTAACAAAAATAAAGACAATGCTTAAGTTGGTTTGACCTCTTCTAATAGTTAACTTAAGAATTCCGGGTTTAATTTGACGAGGAACAGCATATTTTGTTCATAATAAGACAACTATTATCCTACTAGGCGACATTTCGCCAGGTAGGATAAATTCCTAAATCCCCAATAAATCCTTAAATCCCTTCTCCGGAGAGAAAAGCTGCCTGATTTCAATGCCTTTCTTGTCTACTTACATTGACGGCAGGACAGTAAAATTTTCCCGCCCGCTGAATCCTGAATCCTGCGCGAATCCTGCGCGAACCCTGCGCGCCAGGCGTATGCAAAGCAGAAATTGAACTCCAAAAAGCGCCCTGGCCTGAGGTAATCTCTTGCCCAGTCCCCCCGCCAGTAAAAGATCAGGTTTACGAAAAATAATGGAGAACTGTGCCAGCAAAATGATGTCGTTTTTAGGTGAAAACAAGTTATTATTCGGAGCGGTGGGGATTGCGCTTTCATCTGCCGCACTAGGATTTGTTATTAGTCGAGGTTTTGAACGTAGGAACTCCTTCAATGCGCCTTTTAAAGTCAACTCTGAACACAGCCCAGTCGCGAAGTATGTTTTGGAATATGGAATCCGCGAGCCTTTACCACTCATGAAACTTAGACAGGTAAGAAGTTTGTATTATTTAAATTGGCAACGAACAGTTCTGGTCTCACCAGCCATAGCAGGTATCTGGTTAACACATTTAAATTCTATATTTAAGTGTCTTTAAGGTCATATTCTCAAAATCATTTACTAAATATATTTCATGAGGGAGGGGGGTGGGGGCAGTGTGGTGACCCCTTATTTAGCCTCTACAGAGACATAAACATATACCTAATTTAGACATGGTAAAAGCATCAGATGTGCTGCTGTGTAGGATATGGTTTTCTGGTCTTGCTGTCCTGAAGAGGGTATACAATGTTACTTGCCTCTGCCCTACACCAGGTATGGTTACACAAAAAGCAGGATGCTAAAGTACTTGAATTGCATTTAACTGACCAGTCAATGAAGTACTGACCAAGTCTGACCAATCATGATTTTTATGTTCATCTGGTGGACAAAAAAAGTGAAGAAAATAATGACATACTTGCAGGCATTTCCTTCCATCCCCCTACAATCCCGCTTTGCACTTCTAGTTTTCCCTTCTCCTTTCCTCTCAGGTTTCCCCTCTCCTTCACCTTTGAATGCCTGCCATGCAGGCTATCTTGAATTCTGAAAATTGTGCCCAAATGATGAGGCCCTGTTAGGGGGGGTGCCCATGTTCCCTGTCTGATTTTCACAAGCAGCTATGTCGGCATTTTGCAAGGTTCTTATGTCGTCTGTCGGAATTTCTTCTTAGAGGAATTGTGTCGGGAATTTGACCTTGTTCAATTGAAACGAAATTATACACGTGCATAATACATCATAACACATTTGTTTATTAAAATACTGACAATGCGAAGACAAACATCAGGAAAACAAAAATCAATCAAAGTTTGACTTAAAGTGCCACTGAAACGAAATTTTCGTATGTGAGATTTTTGCTTAGTAATAAAGTTTCAACCTTACTTGGAAACACTGCAGACTTTTTTTTC